GAACTAGAGACAAGGTTACAGCAAATATGGAACGGAATGTCTCAAGACATTATACAGAACTTGTATCCCTCAATGCCCGATCGTATCGCATCAAGCATTCGCTCTAGAGGGGTTCAACAGTGTATTAAATCCTCCGTTCTTTTGCCTTTTTCTCTGAAATAAATGATCCTTTTTCTTTAATTTTCTAATCTTTTACTTATATCAAAGTAGTCATTACGTATGTAAAATTTCGTTTCATTTTGACGACTGCTTCTTTGTGCGCTAATTTTTTTGTCCATGAGTGTAGAAGGATAATAGCGAGACTATTTTCTCCAAGAATATATTAATATGAATAAAATAAATAAACATGATATATTTGAATGTTTTCATTTTTCTCTTCCACTTTTTCTGTTGGCAGGAAAAATATATTTTTGCACTTTGATATTCTGTTTTGACTCTTCCAGCCTTCTTTTTTGCTTTCCTATAAAATGAAATACATAGCTTTTTAATATATCCTTATTGAATTGATGAGATTAATTGACAGTATCAATTTTTTTGCATTTACTAATTGATTAAATACTGAAGTTATTCAAAAACATTCTAATGGCTTGGATTTGGTTTACAACATGTCTTTACATGTTATCAATTACTTTGAATTTCACGGTCACATATCGCTTACTAACATATGTTTTAGGAGAGTCTGTAGTACATCCTTTGCAATTCGAACTACTATGTATTCGAGTCAACACGTGCATGTTCCACCAACAATACTGTTTAATTCAAATTAAATTTTCAACCTATTATACAATATTCTAGAAGTTCCACTCTTTCAAGTATGATATTCAACAATTCCTGGTTTACATCGATATTTGTTTTCCATGCTTAAGGGTTTTTTCCCTACCAGTGTATTAAATCGAATAGTTAGATACAAACTTATAAGATATACGATGAACTTTAAAGGATGGTTGTAATATCATGTGACAAACTTTGAAGGGTAGTAAAGCTCATTATAACAAAAGGAATTGTTTTGGAATGTATACACAAAAGTAACGCGTTGAGGCACAAATAAAAGTTTATGAAATGAAAACAAAATATACAGTAGAACCTGTTTTTGTGCGGTCCTTTTTTGTGCGATTTTATTTTTGAGCGATTGTTTTTATGCGGTGTATGAATTTCAACGGCTTTGGCGCCATTGTAATGTTTTCTATCAATGCACATTAATATATACAGTTCAAGACGCTCTGTTCATTTGTTACAAACAATCTCCGGACACACAATGCACTTTCAATTTCTTTCTCTCAATGCACCAGCAGCACGCGCTTCATTGAAGACGAAACTGGTCAATGTCAGAAAGAGACATTATCAATAATTTGATAAATTATGAAGATAGTTAAGAAGAATCGGATTCTTTGAGGTTGGATAAAATATATGCTGTGAGATCCAGCTTTCTAACAAATCCGAAAAACATTTTCTTAAAATAGATACCAATTCCGAAAGGAGTTTGAAATTCCAAAAAGAGTTTCGATCACGCATATCTGGCTATCGAGACGTTTACAAGCAACTGACCAACCGATCGCCGTCGCAAAAGCTTATCACTTACTTTAAGATGTCAAAAAATAAATCAATTGAAATTGTATTTTCAAGTGACGTAAAGCTATTTTGAACTAATTCATCACAGAAAGATGCGCGCTTTGAATTACAGCGAGTAGCAGTGAATCATGTATGTGCATTTTGAAAACCATATCTCCATATACACAATGAGAAATTAAATGTTTTTAAAATATTTCCATATGTAATTTAATTATTTATATTGTTTGTAGGCACTCTCTCATAAATTTCGTAAATAACTGACGTATGTTCTAAGTGCGACTTTCTTAATGTGGTCCCTCTCCGCCGCATAGAAAAAAACTTCTATAGTATGTCGACAAAGTTGTTTGTTACATGTAAGTATTTAAGAAATTTTGGAATATTTTTTGTGCAGTTTCTTTTTATGCGGTCCCTATCTACCGTACAAAAACAGGTTTTACTGTACTTACAGCATAGTCGCAAAGTGCTTTTTTTCTCCAATTGATATTTACAAATATCAATTATTTATGCTTTCGAAATTCTGCTTGTTAAACAGTTTAATTTAGTAATATTATTATGCATCACAAGAAAAATTAAGTTTTTCAGGGTATTGTTACAACTGTAAATGTTTTAACATATGACATCATTTACTGTATTTGCATTTCTAATGACATCTTTCTAAAATAAGAGGGTACAGTTAAAAATGCCGCATTAAAAAATATTTCAGTAATGACAGAAATCGTGGAATAATGCATAAGGTAGGTGTATCAAATAGAAGTCTAGTAGTTCGTAAATTCATTTTTGATTATAACTCAACAGAACTGAATTTATAAATTGTCCTAATGTATTACCGTTAAGAAGACTTATGAATATATAATTTGTATATTACAGAAACATTTTTGTTTTATTTTGATTATTTTCTAATTGAAATTTGATAACTTTAAATTGTTAATTTGTATTCCTCTTATAGAAACACAAAACTTATATAAATTTTCTATTGTATATATAAAAAAATAATTGAGAGAGAGAGAGTTTTGCCAAAAATAATTTTCAGGATATATTTCGTAGTGTGCTATGCAGATTTAATTGTTTTATCAGCTGGAGTCAAAATTCAAGTACTCATTATAAACGTGAAAAATATTGAAACATTGCAAATATATATACAGTCCACTCTCGATAATTCAAAGTTAGAGGGACCAATGAAAAACTTCGAATTATCAAGAGGGTAGGGAAAAAACTCCCAAAATACACGAAGAGAAATTTTTTTCTATCACATTTAAATTTGAAACTATGTAATAAAACAACAATTGTGCACATATGTATCAAGTTATTTTAAAGTATTTTTAAAAGGTACATTTTGAACTGAACTGAACTCATTGTTGCAACTGCCCATGAGAGCCAAGGCCTACTCTGCCTCTCAGCTTACGTGACCTCAGGGCGCTGGGGTACACGTGCAGATGTTTCGGTTATGTTGTAAAGGTACATATTGTACAGCATAAGTATAATAAAGAATGGCTGACAACAGGTACGGTCGGTTTATTCTCCACTTGAAGAAGGAAAACGATAAAAGCATCTTTTCGCCTGGGGAACCGGAAAACACTAACAAGGAGCAGCAGACAGATGTTCATCAAAGGGACTACGTAACAGGGGAAATACGCATAAACAATACAACACAAAATTATTAAGTTCCAACCTGTTTGCTACAGTACTGTACACGATAACGTGTGTTTGAATTGTCGAAAGTTTTATGAGATAACTTCGAATTATCGCGTGTTGTAGTCTGGCTAGCCGCAAATTTTACTTCGAAATATTGAGTGTACCCAAACGTATTGCTTTAGTTCGAAATATCAAGAGTTTTTCTAGGGACTGAACATATACTTCACGTTAGCGAGAAGTTCGTATTATCGAAGGTTTGAATTAACGAGAGTCGACTATATATAAAAAAATATTCGAATGTTGCACAACATTTGAATGTTATCCTTGTATAATTTTGCTCATGTGCATAGTATTTTTTCCCTAACAAAAATTAACAGAGATTTTTACTATTAAGTAAGGTATTCAATAATAATAACGCCATGCTGAATTTATTTAACGTCATAAGCTTTTTTTTATATCAGAAATTGTGAATCAAACTATTTTAATATGCATCCACGTTTCATCCTATTCATAATATAAAAGCATTTTTTTTTTGCCAATTTAAAATTGTTAAAATAAATTCAAGTGAAACAAGTCAATGCAGAAAGGCAGCTTTTAGGTTGTCATTTCATTATTTATATAATAATTGTATGAAGAATGGGGGGGGGGGGATGTCATTAGCTCGTTACTTTTAATGGGTCTACTTAACAATGATTGTTTTATTTTATTGTGCCCATGAACGAAAGATACTTTCCGTCGATAAATCAATCGATGAAAAAGTCGATCACTATTTTAAAAATAGTAACTCTTAAAAGCGCCTTCAGAACTCATAAAGGATGACTGATTCTCCTTTACAGTCGTGTGGGTATAATAGAGAATTCTTTTTTCCCCTACCGAAGTAACTATCAGCAATTTGCTTCTGTTAGTTATAATTAATAGTTAATATACTCACGCAATACTTGAGAGATAGCTAATTATATGCATAGTTAGTACAAAGAAACTTGTGAAATGTGTCACTTTGCTTGAAAATGGTTTGCTTTTTAAGAAAGGAAAAGAGATTTTTCTTGTAAAATATTTCAAACTATGAAGTCTCTTTTTAGTTTTTTTTTTTTTTTTACAATTTATGATTGAAATGTAAAAGTTTTTGTTGCTTAGTTTGTGTTATTTTCTTACAGTTACTGTCAATTAAACAAAACATATCTTTTTAATTAACATGTGTGAAGGGTGGTAACACAAAGAATGAATAAAGCGTCATGCGATTCATTTAAAAAGGGTGTTTTTTCTTGGCACAAAAAAATAACGAGATTCTGGTAAAGGTCTTACTCTTAATAGCTTGAATCTTAAATAATACAAGGTTATTTTTTTAGCGTGCCATTAACATTTTATTTTATTTCATTGTATTGCAAAAATGGAGATGTATTATTTGAAGGTTTTTAGAGTAATTAACAAACATTACACATTCGGAACATTAGTTTTATTTATTTATTCATAAATTTTAAAATAAAAAGTTTCTGTGTATGAATTTTTATTAAAAACTCGAATCGATATGTATTTTTTAATTCCCTTATTATATATATATTATATATATTATATATATATATATATATATATATATCTTGCTCAATTTTTTAATCTTTAATCAAATACTTTCTATTAATCCATTCAGGTTCAAATACATTTTTTAAAACTGGTATTGGATGACACTTGATGTTAATACAGTTTTTCAAATATTAGTTCATTAAATAAATTAAAAATGAATAAATAGTAACAAGCAAAACTAATAGTTTAACAGCATATAAAGAAAGGAAAGTCTTCGTTGTGTCCCTGTAGTACAATAAATAGCGCGTTGGACTTCTAGTCCAAAGGTAGGGAGTTCGAATCTCACCTGGGATGGCTTAAATTCTGAGAATGTCACTTCTTTTTTGCTATACTTATTCTATTACAATAATTAAATTTAATTAATGAATAAAACCAGTAACAAACGAAAAAAATGGTCTTAACGCCCTATATAGAAAGGAAAATGGGAAATTGCAAGGAAAATCACTTTCTATTCTGTCACTTAATATAGATATTTATATTAATTGTAACTAATTAATAAAAAGTAATTAAAATTAAAATTTTATTTGTTGACCTTAGAAGGAATTGACTTATTTTTTTTATATTACTTATTTATAAACAGTTCGTTGCAGAAAATAATAATTAAAAGTAGCAGAAAAATTAAGAATTCAATATTATTTTAGCTTTTATATCAAATATACTTATTTTAATTAATTACCAGTAGTAACACGATTTAATTTACAGGAAAGAAATATTGATTTTCATTTATTAATATTCAACATTTCTTGAAACGATTAAAAAGATTTATTAGTTATTTACTAGTTGGTGGCATTACTCTACCATCTTTCATGACAAATTGCATTACTCTCCATACTCACGGATAAACTTATTAACAATTTAATTACATTGATTACTAACTGTAGATGGAGATTCATTTCCTGTGTATCAAATTTTCAACACTCTAGCAATCTAAAATTGAAATTTCATCTAATGGATCTGTTGAGTCAGGAATCATTTGGAATGCATTACCAATCTGTGATAGGTTCGCATCAATCTGATTACTGCGTTGCTAAATATAGCTTCTCTACTAGCTAATAAATATTTGCATAATATTTTAAATAGTTTATATCGCTATAAGTTTAATTAACAAATTCTAACATATAAAAGATTATTTACAAAGTACTTTATTTAATACGTGAATTTAGGTTAGAATGTTTTAGAAGTAACAGGTTTTTAATCTTAAGTATGAGGGCTAAAGTTTTTTTTTTAAAATAATAATCCGTGTAATATAAGAGTAGTGGTAATTGAAAAATTAATCAAAAACTGAATAAATGTATTGCAAATTTTAAAAATGTAGCAACAAGAAAAACAAATACTCATCAAATTTATTTGACAGATAACACAAAGTACAAAGGTCAAAGAAATGACTGAAAATAAAGTTTTCTCTGAGGTGAGGTAGACGATTAAATCAGTATTGAGTGTTGCCACCATGGCTGATAATAACCCCTGCAACATGCCTCGGTATAGAATGAAAGAGGTTTTGGATGTATTGTTAAGGATAGAGGGTAGTCCATGTTGCCTCCACATATTGATTAAGGCGATGTGATATAGCAGTGGGTGGTATAGACCATGTCAAACGGTCTCCGAATATCGACCAGATGTATTCGATAAGTGATAGATCGGGAGAAAAGGTAAGCAAGAAATCTGTAACGGATCTATTTGTGTTCTTCTTACAAATAATCCTCTTGAGGGAAAATGGGTCTTTAAAATTTATTCCATTGAAAACTTATAACATCCCCTCCTAATGTCTACCCTGTGGCCCGGCTAAAGGTGTAGGAGGAAGTGAAGGATGATTCGACATGATAATTTCCAATTATTTATTCAGTACTTCAAATAACTCAAAAACAAATCAATGAATCAGAATGAATAGGATGTTTCCTATTTAACCAACAGAAGTAGGGAGACGAGAGTCGCGGTTTTGTAGAATACTTCTAATAATTGATCCACTTTGTATTAATCAATCTTCTACCTTAATATTGCTTTAAACGGTAGATATGTAACTAATTGCCACTTAGACCTCTTAATAATTTAAATATCAAAATGTATTATAATGTGACTAATATCTGAACTGTAGGCAGTCTTCTTATCTTTTAATGCGTAATCCTTCAATCTCTTAATAATTCCAACTTCTAATCTTTCCTCTCTCACACGGACTTACTAACTCTCTTCCGTATTCCACTTTGTCACGCTTTTACTAACTAACTCCTCTAGCAAGCGAACCTGAACTATATATAATAAACTTAATTTGCATATCACGTTTTCTTCTTCAGAAAAAGTTGTTATTTTTCATAACCCAGAGATTTTCCCAGAGGGTTAGTTGAAGGACGCGTATAGATCCGTCACAAACTTTCCTCTGAAGAAGAAGATGTGATTATGTAAATTAAGACTTGTATATAAAGATTAAACTTTCGAGTTAAAAGCTAGAGTGGTTAGACTGCTAACGGATAGCCGTAATTGATTAGCGTGAGAGACTAGGCAAGAGAACTTCGTTACTTATTTGATTAATATTAAGATTGACGGTTTGGTCAATTAAGCGTTAAATTTGGATTAGAGTGAATTGAATAAGATGTATTGTCTAGAGGTAAGCGATCCAATTTACTGTTAATTCTCCTTGTATCTCGTCTACCCCGCAATTGCTTCACATATTTAGTAATTGGTGCATTTCTTAGTTGGAGTTGTTGAATTTGTGTCGTAATTGAGAATTTTTAATAAATATGTATTGACTATGGATAATCTTCCTTCCAACCCTCTCTCACTAAGGAATGATATGGGCAATCCCTTACAAATCTCAATTCTTATTTCAAAAACATTGTAGAAAAGTATGATTGGGTACATTTGTCTCTTTAAACTGATTCCACAATTAAATACACTTGCAGCTATAGATAGGAAATTAACACAATAAATAAATTGAATAAAACTGCCACTATTTTATTTAAAATATATTTATTGATTTTTATAGTGCAATTTATACCTTTTCTGAGTTGCCAAGTTTAGTAATGAATGCAATCATTTTAAGAAGCGGCAGATGTCCGGTATTCTCCGCTTTTACATTGTGTCCTTCGAGCCAAAACAATTGCCCGCTCCTGATTAGTATTTTTCTGATTTCCCGATTTTTTTCATTCCCGGGAATGTCCGGGAAATCCCGGAAATGTAATTGTCGTTCAAGGAATTCCCGAAAATACATCAAAATTTCTAAAAATTTAAAAAAGTTATTTTTAAATAAAATCAATAATAATTATGTAAAATAAGGATGCATATAAGTTACAAAGTTAATTCTTATTTATTTAAGGAGCTAAAAAGTACCAAAAAATGTATAATAAGTTGATTATTCATTTTTGAAACAGGATTTCAGAAAGCATAAGCAATTTATACTTTTATCACTCAGGCATGAAAAAAATGTTACAGTTAAAGATTTTGTAAATTAAAAATCTCGAGGGAAAAAAATCATATTTGAAAAATATTTACTAAAATTAATGTTCTTTACTGACTCACGTGCGTTTGAAAATTAACCAGTCAAAGTTGAATCAATTATTTCTCTAATGTTGCTACTAAGAGATAAATATTAATATATACTTGAAAACTCATTTGCTGCTGAAGTGCCGATTATGTACGTTAAAAATATTAATTATTGTATCTAAGATATTTTATTTCTATAATCGATTTTGGAATTGCTGTATTATTGTTGCTTACATATAAATAAATATTAATATAAAAATCTCACACAAAAGTGAAGTTTACAGAAAAATAATAAAAAAGAAAAATTGCGCGATTGCTTATAAAAATATTCTCCCCAAACAGTCTGTGGGTTCATTCCCTTCTTCAAATTGCTGATTCAATTAAATAGCTCATAATAAAAACAAGTATCCCAAATTTTTTTTAAGAAAAAGATTAAGTAAATAATATTTTTAAGTATGAGTACTTACATTATCAACATAAACCTAGATCTTGGAACTTCGATCGCATATTGCTGGTTGGCAACGAAATGCGATTGCTTTAAAAACGCAATATTTCTTGTTAATGAAGCTCGCTACACAGATAGACAGGAATTTTAATCTGTACAGATACTCTTTCTTACGGTAGCTGGAAAAATTCTCACCCCCAAAGTTCTCATATTACACTCTTACCCCATATTTGGGAATTGGGGTAACGAACATTCCTTCGTCCAGAAGTTCGGGGTGAACGATCTCAAATTGCCACAGTAGGGTCAGTTAACGATGTCCGAGATTAAAATCTAAGGTCAAGTCATAAATAGCTAGCTCATAGATAATTCAAGCCCCATGTGATTCCCGGGAATAGAAAAAGTACAGAATTCTTATGATTTTCCGGGAACCCGGGTTCCCGGGAAGGAAACCCTACTCCTGATCTAAGGGGGAAAATTAGGCATTTCTAATAGTTTTCCCTTTTTAAAACCCGGTTTATTTTCTAATGTTAATACAACTAATTTATATTTATATTGATTAATTTATTGAAGCATGTAAAGTAAATATTTAAATTTAATTTACACTCAACTCATTTATCTTAAAACTCAAGAATGCAAGCTAATTATATGTTATATATTAGCATTTACTTAACTCAGTCTTTTTGTAATTAACGTATTTCTCGCCAAATTCTAATGCAATGTAACAGTGTGGACACATTTTACAATAATTTAGTCTTTTGAATTGCTCTTCCTGACATTTAACAGAGTAATTAACTCGAAGCATTTCATTTCCTTTACTTAACGAACTAGCATAAAATAATTCAACCAACACTATGAAGAAAAGATATAGACCGTACAGTACTTTATTCGGAAAATACTGACTTATATTAAGGAAAGAGTCTCATAAATTGTATCTGGAAACAAAAGTTTCTGTAATATTTCACTTTGCTTATAATCTTAGTTCAAGTAATGTTAATAAGTCTCTTTCTAAGCGCTAATGAAATTTTTAGTTTTGTTTTAAATAAAACCCTTAGAAATTTATCGGAATGTTAAACATGAAAAATGTCTCGATTTAAATAGGCCATTTAAAGAGTTTATAGTTTTCGAAACATGGCCATTCTCATCGAATCTTTAATTTACATCCGCCCTTTGAATAAATTAGCATCGTGATTAATTGCATTTTTTTCTATGAATTGAGTTGAAAATACAATGGTGCATACATTTTGAAAATGATGTTATCAATCAATTTCTTTTTTCTTAATTAAATTTTCCGTATGTGGAAACTTTTAAAACCTCTTAATTACGATGGCGAAGTTTTATTTTATTCTGAATTATTATTTATTATGCTTAAGATTCA